CCTACACTCAGTGTCATTGTATGTGTTGTGTAAGTCTGAAGAGGAATTTACAGACTGGTATCAGATATATGGGCTAATATTGGACTTACGGACTTGATCTGGACTGGTATGTTTTCTTAACATACAATTACTTTTTAATATAAAGCTCTTTCTTATTCACATGCGTGTCTATGAATTTGTTTCTTTAGTCAACCCAGATTAACACATAAGGTATGTTTGTTCTTCTGACAGTCCATGGTACTTTCAATATTCTTCGTCAGAACCATAATTTGAATGCACAAATTCTTCTTCAGTCTTCTTTATTCAACGTTTACCTTTCACATGCTTCTGAGCAATTGAAACTACCATGACTAGGGTCAGGCACACTTTGGTTCTCCAAGTGACATCTTTGTTTTTCAACACTTTACTTTTTTATAAAATAATTTTATTGACATATAATACATGTACCATACAACTAAGTCATTTAAATATATTAAAAAAGAGTTGTGCAATCATCACCACAATGAATTTTAGAACATTTTCTTCACTCTTGGGCTTTATTTATTTATTTATTTATTTATTTATTTGAGCTGCAATGGCACCATTATTTGAAAGTCTTATCTGCCAATTTAGCATTTTCCACCAACCTGGGGAGTGGAAACTTCCACAGGATTCACAATATTTTGCTGCCTTTGTAGGAGTCTTAGTAGCAGCAATTGCTGTCCTTTTGAGATGTTTGCTTTGCTTGTATAGCAGATTTACTCAATACAATGTATTATTTGATTCCTTGACTACTTTCATGGGCAGTGATTGTGGAACCCAGCAACATGAAATCCTAGGAAATTGCCATCTTTTTTTTCCCTTTTATGAAAATATTACAAATTAGGTTGTGAGGATTTTGATTTTCTTTATAGTGAGTTATAATTCATATTGAAGGTTGCAATCCTTGATCTTCAGCAGCAAGTTGTGTTAGAATTCTTTAGAGAAACAAAACCAAGACACTTATCATTTCATATATATATATATACACACACACACAGCATAAAGGAAAATAATAGTTAATTAGTCCACACAGCAGTACAGAGGGCTCATATCAACTCACTTCCATAAAACAGTTATATACTGGAAGTCCTTCAACTCATGAGGGCTGCTGGGTCCAGGGTCAAGGAATAAGACAGCTGAGTCTTCCATAGAGCAATGCAGGCAGTCCATTCACAGGCAGCAAACAGCAGGGTCGGTCACCAACAGTCAGCCAGATGACAGGATCTGACAGGCCCAAGCTCAAGCGATATATACACCAGCAGCATAGCGAAGCAGGTCTCAAAGGAACCTGAGGCTCTACAGACACGTCTGTGGATTGGGTGTCCCACAGGTAGTGTAGCTCACAAGTTGGGGCAGAGAACTAGCTAAGGCAGCAGCACATTGGTCTAATCACCAGAGAGCAAGAGAGAGAGAGGTGGGGCTCACCAAGCCATTTATCGCTTTGCCCTCCAATCAAACTGCAACCTTATTAATCCCCCATGTTCTTATTGGCCAAGTTGGCACAATAAACCTACCTATCACAAAGTTCCTCAAGTCTGCCTCATTCGCAGCAAGCAACATTGTGTCATCTGCATATGAAAAGTTGTTAATGAGCCTTCCTCTAGTCCTGATGCCATGCTCTTCTTCTTATAGTCCTGTTTCTTGGATTATTTGCTCTGCATGTAAATTGAATAAGTATGGGAAAAGGATACAATTTTGGCACACATCTTTCTTGAATTTAAACCATGCAGTGTTCCCTTGTTCTGGTTGATTCATGTACAGGGGAGAGTAGAAACAGGTATTATTGCATAGAGGGGACTTCCTTTAAGGTGATGATAGTTTTATAAATAGCTTGATGGTGAGCCATATCGGAATATGATGAATGTCACTAAAGTGTACACTTAAAAACGGTAATGGAACAGTTTATATTATATGTTTTTGAAGGATTTATGTAAGGCATTTCATAAAAGTTTCCTCATTAGGATTTTTCCTCATGTTAAATAGGAATTGTGGAAGGCAGATGACAGATGTAAAGTATTATTCTCATCACATCATATCAAAGGTATGTACCACAGTTTTATGACATCACTCTAGGTGTTAACTTTAATCACCTAACTGTTATTAGGTGCTAGGGTGTGAGTTCCAACTCATAATAACCTGATGTACAACAGAATTCAACCCTGCCTGCTCCTGTGCCATTCTCACAATCATTGCTACGTCAGTTCTCTGGCGGACTTTTCTTTGTTGCCTACCCTCTGTTTCACCAGGCACAATGTCTGTCTCCAACGAATGATCCATCCTGATAACGAGGCCCAAGGACATTGATAGGTTTCTCCAACCCCACTTCTAAGGAACATTCTGGTCCTATTTCTTACAAGACACATTTGTTCATTCTTCAGGATATTCATGGTGTAATCAATAGTCTTTGTCAGCCCCGTAATCCGGAGCCATCAAATATCCTCTTAGTCACTGTGCAGCTTTCACACACATGGGGTGAGGGACTGTACCGTGACTTGGGCTAGTGAACTTTAGTCCTCAAAATGACTTCTCTCTTTTAAAACACTTTTAAAAATATCTTTCACAACAGACTTCCCCAACATGGTGCCTTATTTGATTTATTGACTGCTGCTTATGCCATCATCATTTTCAAAGCATTCTCTTCCCACTTGAGTCCCTGATATCAGCTCCCCATTTCATCCCCCTCCTCTCCCCAGCCCTCCCTCATGAACCCTTCATAAATTATATAGATGATCATTTCCACATCTTGCATTGTCCTCTGTCGCCCCTCATCCACCTATCCATTATTTGTCCCCCTGGGAGGGGGTTTTAGATTGATCCTTATGGTCCATCTCCCCTTCTCCCCCCACTCTCCCCTAATCCTCCTGGTATCTCTACTCTCCTTGTTGGCCCTGAGCGGTTTATCTATCCTGGATTCCCTGTGTTGTGGGCTCTTATCTGTAACAGTGTGCATGCTTTGGTCTAATCCAATTTGTAAGGTAGAATTGAGGTCATGATAGTGGGGGGAAGGAAGCACCAAAGGACTAGAGGAAAGTTGTGTGTTTCATCAGTGCTATAATGCACCCTGGCTGGCTCATCTCTTCCTTGTGACCCCTCTGTGATGGGATGTCCAATTGTCTAGAGATGGGCATTGATTCTCTACTCCATGACCCCTCCCCATTCAGCCTGCATATGATTTTGTTCTGGGTCTTAAATGCCTGATACCTGATCCCATCGACATCTCATGATCATACAGACTGGTATGCTTCTTCCATGTGGGCTTTGTTGCTTCTGAGCTAGATGGCCGCTTGCTTTTCTTCAAGCCTTTAACAGCCCCCTCCCTTCTGAACAATAGCTTGCTCCCTGGAGAAGAGCTCAAAGACATCTGAAGCCAAGCCAACTCAGAGACAACCAAGGTCAGGCTGCCATCTTGACTTTAGAGCCTGCCCATCTTTTTTATATATGTACCTTCCTGTCACATGGATACTTGTAGTGCCTTCCCTTCCTATTACATGTATACCCTAGCTTGGACCCCTCCTGTTATATGTATGCCTCTAATACAAGGCCTTCTTCTTATGTATGTGCTTACCGGGGCTTACATGCCCAAGATTATAAAAGCTCGTGAGAATACAATACTCTCTCTGCTCAGACCTGGTTCCTGAAGTCATGGTGGAGGTGAGCTTTTCCATGCTTTATCTTGTCTGATGTTTCTTTAATTTGCTCCTCAATTACACAACTGCCCCCTTGGATCCATTCCGTTGTGGAGTCTGGTCCCCCACAAGGATCCATTAGTGGATTCATTTAGTCAACTTTGGATTCATTCACCCCTGCATCTGACAGCCTGTGCTCCCACCATCTCTACTTGCTCATTCTGCTTCCTGTCCATCAGTTTCCATGAGTCAGGAGAAGCCTGACTTGACCTGGACTGGATATAACCTCCTTCTACAATTGTGTAAGCCATCTGTTGATCTAAATCTCTTTCTATATAAAAACAAATACAAGAATCTCTAGTTTTTCTTCTCTAGAGAACCCAATCTAACACACACACTAAGACTTCAATTCTTAAGCGTCATAGATCAGTTCTTCAAATTACCTTCACTTCAAGCAAATAAGATTGTGTCATCATATATCACTAGCTGTTAATGAATCTTTCTTCAATCCTATAGATGCATTCTTTGTTCATACAGTATGGGTTCTAGGATTGTTTGCTCAATATAGATGAAATGCATATGGAGAAATGCTACACCTCTGATAAAAAACCACGTGTTATTGCCTTGTTCTATTTGATTGCCTCTTGGTCTATATACAGCTCTCACACCAGGTTTCCTCTCTATCAAGTTATTTTTCTCCATCATTCCTTCCATTTTTTCATATTATAATCATTTGAAGAAAAGTATCAAATGCAGCCCCGTTAATGCAGTTGGGAGCTAAGTTCTACCTTCTTGGGAATAGTATCGACATTAATTATGTGGGACTGTTCTGTAGTGCAGATTTGTCTTTTCTATACATTTATTTGTTAATTTATTAAATCATTGGTATACAAAAACTTGAACTCATTAATATGTATTTCACACTTAGGGTTATAATTGAATACTATTTGATTCCATCATTGGCCATTGGGTGCACTTCCAGTTGACTCCTGTGCATCTATCATTGAGTTTGTTTCCTGTTTGTTGAGTATTTCAATTTTGGGCACTGCAAGATATTTCAGGCTTATTTTGCATTCTTTATCACAGACCCACCATCTGCCATTTCCTCAAAAAACACTGGTTCTCTAAATGGAAAATGGTATTGGAAACAAAATCTGGATAGAGAGTGTCCTCACCGCTTCTAGGCCCCCTCGGGTAACACAGCAAACAAATACATATGTGTGTGTGTTAACACAAGATGTCACTGAGTGGGAAAAGCAGTTGAGAACTTGTGGTGTAAGTTCATTCAGGGGATCCTCGAGACCGGGAAAAAAAAAAAAGGCCTGGCAACCTCTCAAAAAGATTACAGATGTGGAGCATGTTCCCAAGGTCGGTGGCTAGAGTGGCCATCTGATCTCCAAGTGCGTGCAAGAGCAATGTGGAGAGACTGGGACAGCTCAGGCCAGCAAAGTATCTGCAGCTGCCACTTGCCTTTCCTACAAAACTCTCCAGGATCTGGACAAGGAAGCCTCCTACCTAAGTCTAGTTTTCTATCAGCTTCCATGTAGATCTGTGGCTAGTAAAACAGCCTTCAAATGCGATGAAGCACAAAAGATCTAGCGTTTTGAGCATTGAAGCACTAAAGGAAGAAAACTTCAAGCAGGCTGTTTTGTATACAGCAGGAAAAAAATTTAAATGTACCTGACTTAATAAATAAAAATACTTGTGAGGAAAAAAAAAGATGACAGGTGCTGAAATCACAGCTCTGGAACAGCGTTCTGCTCTTGACAACACGGGTTGCTACGAGTTGGAATACAGTCAAAGGTAACTAATATAGCATGGCATACTAACACATAAATATGTAAACACCTCTATAAATATATATCCACTTGTATGTATATTAAGCTGAAAATGAGTTCAAACTGATGTTTTAGATTAGAATCCAACACCACGTTGATCATTCTGTTCTCTCCTTCCTGGTCTTACAGCCTCCCACTACAACAGTGAGAAGCCTCGCTCCTGCTCTGCACCACTTGTTTCCTTATTTCATCCCCCAGACACATATAATGATTTCTCCATTGTTAACTCATTTACTCCTGGGAAAACAACTTTACCAAATCAAATAGTGTATTTATGCCTCATTTCCATTGCTTTTCACTGTAGTCTCTAAGATGAAAATCTTGAAGGTAAATATTTTCAAAACTCTGTTAAGATTTCTGCTTTACCTGTGAATTACTTAGTTAATAATGTATGAGTTTCTTGGTCATATGTATCAGGATAATGAAACTTAGGTGGATGAGCGATCTTGCCTGAGGTCACACAGTAGCATGCAGTTTACGCGATATAAATCTAGTATGGTTGAATTTGGGCTCATTAATATTATTGTATTAACTCCCAACATTATTAATACTGGCATTGTTTCAGCTTATAAATCTTACTATAGTTAGCTATCGATACAACTTGACCTAAAATTATTTTTGATGTATTTTTCTAGATAATAAATAAAATGTGACCCAATATCAGTAAATGTATATCATACTACCATGCTCAAATATTGTCATTTATTTCTTTTGCTTGAGCAAAACTATTATAATATTTTAGATGGATGTGTGAGGGTGTGGGGAGTGTATAATATTTTTATAAGACAGCAAGTCAAGGTGTATTTTTTTCACTACATTATTTGATCAATAGCTATGCTAACTTTGATTGCAACATATATGACTCTTTGTATATCTCCAAGTTTCTAGCAAAATAAGAAAGAGATGATAGTTATTAATCCAGGGTCCAAAGACATGGAAGATCATCAGTGTTACCAGTGTAAGTTCAGATGTTTGATGCTTAATCGTATCGCTGCCTAAAGACAAATTGAGAGGGGGAGGGGATTTCTAGAAAATAGAATCTCCAACTAATGTGTGTTGTTTATGAACTGCTAAGAGTCCTGAATGGCAATAAAATCCATTTCACAATACAGATAGGTTATGTGCTTTTATAGGTCCCAGGAGGGTGCTGTGTTGGTGTAGTGAAGAGAACATAGGATCTGGGGCCAGACAGATCTTGAATTTAGATACTATCATTGGACTTGAATTTAGACACTATCATTGGATAAACATTGAATAAGTTGGCTTATTCTTTAAACAAGGACATGCAGAATTATTCTGCCAGTGGCTAAAAGGCCTGGCTTCCACAACAATCTGACTTGGCAGGTTTCACAGTGTGCAGAAGGAGAAGCAAATCCCCACTCCACAGCCTTTCTTTAACCCAAATATAGATTCTCCTTGGCCTTGCCAGTGCTGTGTCTCTTGCCTATTTGTGAGTCACTGCCTCCTGCCCTGTGTGGATATGGCACCTGCTCTGTGCTCCAGTTCAATTGCCAGGGGATAAAAATAGCAAATACATCTCTCTTTAAGGTGATTTCCAGATACATCAAAAAACCTGCTGTACCAGATACCAGGGCTCTGCCCTATAGCCCCCTCTTGATAAAGCCAACTGCCTCTCATGATCTTCTCAATCATGGCTTCATTTGGCGAGCTTCCTAGGATCACCTTATCAAGAGGGGCAGAGGATGCATGTGCGATTTGCCTGATTTGAAATTGAGTCCCGATGAGTTGTTTTAAATGCTGAGGGATTAAAAAGACTAGAAAGACTCTTCACATGGTCTCCTTTTGATAGGTCACATGAAATCACAGCTCTCAAAGGAGGATGCATTGACCAGATCACTATTGAAGGTTGGCAACAAACTTGTGAACAGAGCCCCCAGCAAATACAGGACGTTATACCAAAGATGTGATGAAGACTCCAAGGAATATGACTCACCCTGCACCACAAGAGAATGTGTCATGTAGTCCGAAATATAAACTAGACGCCCATGAACAGACAGCAAAGATGCAAAGCGACAGCATATGACAAGTGCACGATGCGTCTGCGAGTGTTGAGAGTGATGGGAGGAAGTGTTCCCTGAGCTTAACTTCACAAGATCTTAAAGAAGCAGGCGGTGTTTTGTTCCATGGGGTATGGCACTTCCATGAGTCGAGCCAGCACTACAGCATATTACAATCATAGCATGAAAGCTGCACCTTGCACAAGGTTCCCTGGCAAAGCACACAAGTGGGATGGAAATCCATTCTTTATTGGCTCACCAATCAAAGAACCCCCAACTCAAGGTTGAATTTGCCCAAACGAAAAGAAAGGTGTTTTACTCTAATTTTCACAAATAGCCACTCTGGAAAATCAAGTACTTATTTCATTTATTCCCTCATTCAATCATCAAGACAGAGCCCTGATAGCACAAGGGGGCAAGCAGTGGGCTACTAACGGAAAGGTCCATGTGTAATCTCAGAAACCCCAGAAGTACATCTCCTCTATCCTACAGATCACAATGAGTCAGATTCAACATGAAGGCAGTAGGTTTGATTTTTGCTTCCCTCATCAGTAGATGTTGGATCTTATGGATTATCACTGAATTAAGCTGGTGATAGGTAGATGAGTAAGATCACTTCCCTGCCCTTGATGAACCAACAAGCCAATGCCCAGGGATGCTGTAGAAAGGATAGGCTCACTAAGGAGCTCCTTCATTTAATGCATTCACTCATGTATTACTTTAACGCCACTATCATATTAGTAATTGGAATTAGAAGACTTTTACATAATAGAAATCTCTTACTTTATGACTTTTTGTAAGGTATAGAGCAAATGTGCATACATTGCCTTCTGATCCTCATAACAATTCATGGACAATCCCAGATGAGAACCAATTTCCATTTGGTGGCTGCTGAAGCTCTGCAGATCACATTGGGACCTAGATGTAGTGAGACTCAAGGGTGTCCATTGTGGCAATTACAACAATGACTTCACATTTTAATGTCATCATTTTTATTTGTATCTCTTTTAAATGGATAAAGATGTCTTCATGCCAAAAGAATCTCAACAAAGCAACCAAGATAAAATGCCCTTTGCTGGTAATAAACATTTTTATTCCAAACTTTTATTCTGTTCTTTAACTGGGGGACTAATCTGAAAGTTCTCGAGTGATTTTTTTCGGAAGTAAATGATCAGCCACTCTCACTTCCTAACACAGTTGACGTCATCAGACGACATTTTGTATGTTGACCTTGGTTTCCCAGAATGCCATAGCACACATGTAGGGAGAAGACAGCCTTGGTAGTAATTCAGTGAAGCTTCCGACCAACTCTAGGCTCTATTTCTTCTCACAATGATGGCTTTCCTTGTCCAATTTGTCCTGATCATGAAGACTTGTCCTCAGTGATCTAGCCCATCCTTCTTTCTTGCCCTTACTCTGTAAGCTCTCCAGCCCTCCTCACGTAGATTCTAGATCCATCTTTCAATGCATGTCACATGAGTCTCCTATTCACACCCAAGCGCAAAACCACAGCAACTCTAATTGCCTGTTAATAAAGGTCAAACTCCTTACCTTAGAATTTAAGGCCTGTATTATTCCAGGTAGATTAAAGAAGCAAATTCATAGAGATATTCATATGTGCATAATAAAAGGGTTTACATACAAGAGCAGTTAAACATTAAGAAACCATCCCAGCCCAGTCCAAATCAAGTACATAAGTCCGATATTAGCCCATATGTCTAATACCAATACATAAAGTCCTCTTCTGACTCATGAAACACATCTAATGACACTGAATGCAGGATGATCACAGGCCAGTGGATGGAAGGTCTTTTGGATCCAGTGGTGGTGTAAGCATCTCAATGCTGGCAGGGGTCTCCATGTGGGTCCTCAGGCTCCATCAGGTTCGTTGTCCATAATGTCAGCCTTGTCCATAGAGTCTCCAAGGGAGTGAACAGAGAGAGCATGTTCCCTGCCTCCAGGGAGGAAATCCAAGCATTCCCAGAATTCTCAGGAGAAGGCCACATACACACAGAGGCCTCATTTGTTATATCTTGAATGACAGGCCAAACTCCACCCCTTCACTCGTAATCCTCTCAAATGGACACCAGATTATGTAACTACCCCAAGGCCTTCGTGATGAGCTCAACCTTCTTTCCAATTCATTGTTTCCACTATTCATCTTGGATCTCAGGTATCTAGCGCTGCTATGACAGAATTACCATAAGTGCATGAGCTTCACGAACAAAATTTTATTCTCACAGTTCTGGAGGCTAGAAGGTCAAATTTAGAACACCATCTCTAGGAGATGGCTCTCGGTCTGTGCCGTGTCTGGAAGAAGGTCCTGGACTCTTCAGGGTCTGCTTCCTGGTTCCTGGGAGATCTCCATGTGTTTTAACACCTATTGTATCCCATGTTTCCTTCTTCCCCTTGCTTGTTTAATCTCCTTTATATTTCCAAGCAAACTGACTCAAGGCACTCACTGCACTAACTTGATGACTTAACATGATAAAGACAAGCCTTTCACACATGGGATTAAAATCATGGAGTTTACAATTCAACCGACAACATCTGTATCTATACTCAGCTTCGTGTGTCTCATATACAAAGGTCACTGGTACAAATACGTGGGCATCAAAATAATTCAC